GAAAAGGCAGGATATGAAATTTGCATGAACACTGTGATTGCAGTTATGAACAGTAAGTATTCATGTTGACAAAGTCTGGGAGAGAATATGCAAAATTGAAAATTATTTAAGGTTGGGAGAATGAGTGCTTTTCCTTTTTGTTTAAGAATCTTCTTTGTCGGGGTGCCTGGGTGGACTAGTGGGTTAAGTATCTGATTCTTGGTTTAGATTCAGGTCGTGATCTCAGCGGTTCCTGGGTTCAAGCTCTGAGTCGGGCTCTGAGCTGATGGTGTGGAGCCTGCTTGGGATTCTCTCTCTCTGCCCCTCCCCCTCTCCCCTGCCTCAACACACTCTCTCTCAAAAGTGAATAAATAAACACTAAAAAAAGAATCTTCTATGTTAATTTTGCAGTATTATTTTCAGGGGGGCCTGAGTGGCTCAGTCCGTTGAGAGTCTGACTTGGGCTCAGGTCATGATCTCACAGTTTGTGAGTTTGAGCCCCACGTCCAGCTTTTCACTGACAGCCGAGCCTGGAGCTTCAGAGTCTCTGTCTCCCTCTCTCTCTGCCCCACCCCCACTCATGCTCTCTCTCTCTCTCAAAAATAAATGTGAAAAATAGAAATATTATTTTCACAACAGAATTAATGCTATACGAACAAAACCACAATTATTGGTAATAAAAGCAAAACTCTTTAGCCTAGACTCACTCTAATAATTATAGTGATCGTGTTTGTTAGGGGCTTACTCCATTCCAGACAGGGAGGTGAGTCACGTATGTGATTTCATTGAATCTGCATGACAACCCTGTGAACAAAAACTAATATTATGCCCATTCTACAGATCAGGAATCTGAGATCCACGTGCCCACAGGGTAAATTGCAGAGCTGGGCTTGATCTTCATGCTGTCTGCTTCCAGAACTTGCACTAAATTCCATCGCTGGCTTTGTGCATCAGTGTTTAAAGAACTTCAGTCATTAATGTATTGCCATCATGCTTTGGGGGATAACTGTGGCTCACACATCATGTACTATGATTTACTGAATCTTTAAATTTAAATCAACTCACTTTTTAAACATTCAAACGCCTACTCTAGCATTATCCTAAGTAAGAGCCCCTTGGAATCATCTGTTAAATGTGTTGGTTATATTTTTCAGTGTACCAGTGTACAATAAAAAATTTTAGAAAAATTAATAGTATAAAAAAATCACTAAAGATCATCTTGTACACACAACCCCCTTTAGGAAAAACTGAACTATCTTATGCCACAGTCTAACTCGACTTTCCGTTCCATTTAACTTCCTCCACACCATCTGCCCTATCGGCTACCATCATTCCCACGGCCTGAACCGGTCCCAGCCAGATCACCTTTCTGGAGTCCACCAGCCCCTCCCAGCCTGGGGCCCTGAGACCCACCCTGTGCCCCCTCCCTGCTCCTGTGCTCAGTGCTTCTCCAGGGCTTGCTTGAGCCAAATCCAGATCAAAGCCATTAACGGACAAAGAGGACACTCAGATTCAGAAGGCTGCCGACTACAAAAATTAATTCTCAGATATTAAGCTCCCACTGTGTGCCAGGCACTATACTAGAAGCTTTATGTATACATAATCTCTGTTGGCTCTTTTTTTCCCCATCTTGGGGTCAAAGTATATCCATTAACGAATTCTTTTTTTTTTTT